TAAGTGGAACAATAAACCGGCAGCAGAAAAGGGCTGACAAATTGTCTGGCAAGATTCAGCTCAGTTTGAGCTTGCCTGATGACTTTTTCCTAAATTACGCTCTTTGTTTTCAGTTGTAATAATTCACAAGTGTTTGACATAGTTGATTATCTTGTGGGAGGCACCATCAGACTCTAAGATAAATGTTAGTAGAAGTAAGTTGAGAGATAAAAGGGCTAAATAAGTTTACGGGTAGTATAGGTCAGGATAAAGAAATCGTTTTGGTTTAGTGTTACTTACAATTTTTCCATGATATTTCAATTCTTATAAAAACATTTCCGAAGAACAACAGAAAAACTAACTATTTGTTTACACAACTTGAAGTGGATGGTGAAATACCCACTTCCGCACACTCTAATTTCTTTCTACATAAACAGGCCAAATCCACTTGAGGTATATTTTTTATATGACTGCGGGGAAAACCCACGATGAAATGATATTTTATGGTCGCTTTGTGAGACCTCAGAACCTTGGAGACTCCCTGGCCAACAAAAAAAAAATGTAATAATAGCTATTAAGTCAGGCATTGAACTTGATACGATTTCGTCTAATAGCTCACCTACTCAACTCCTCGAATTCACTTCCTCCAGACCAGAGTCCAATTTAGCTTGCATTTTTGGCCCCCTTATCACTTTTTGTTATTTTTATATATTCTTTGTTCGATTCTTATCGATGTCCATCAAACTGTTTCATCATTTTGTGAGCTTCTAATTTAATTTTCATTCATATGGGTCGAAATAATTGATTGTTTTGCACTGGGATTAATATACATATGGGGCGAGTCTAGGATATTGGCCCAAACTTTATTGACACTACTGATTAATGGCCATATGCCGAACAGCTGTCGGTTATCTATCAAGTATTTCCGATGTCCGATAACACGGCGTTAACCCAAACAAATTAAACAATAATCAATGGCCTTTAATTTTCGCTTTTCGAGTGGCGCAAACTACGAATACTAATAACAACCACAGATGTAGATACACTCCGTCTGCTAATCATTTCTAATCAGCGGAGGTTGCTGCCGCTCTTTAACACCTTGGCAACACAACACCCACCTGGGATTTACTTGAATTTCGATGGCAATGATGATGATGATGAGGTTGCCCACCAACTTCCTGTGAGTGAAAGATTTTCTTTTTGGCCTCCTACGAGTGGCGAGTGTTGATTGTGGGCGTTGCTGCACTGCAGATGGAGATAGAGATGGAGATCCGAGATGCTAATGAGCATGACTAGACTTCTGCTGACGATGACGGTGAAAAGATGGCTTAGAGCAGAGAGGAGTCTGACTTGGCTCATTTGGTAGGTGTTGTTGGCATTGTTATTGCCGTTGAAAGCCATGTCGCTGGGCGTTGCATGACTCGAGATGGGCCGGGGTCGAGATTGCCGGGCCAGCGGCAGTTTTGGGCAGCGAGGTGGGAGTACGTTAGGGTTGGATAATATCAGTAAGCTCTAAAAAAGTATCTTAGGTTGAACATTTTATAAAAAACTTTATTTCGTTAAAAAAAAGAAATCTGTATCATTATGAACTTTACATAACTGTTCGCTTCATAAACAGTTTACCAACACTGGATTCTAAAACAGCGATTAAAAGAATTTAATTTTCGCCCCAGTTCTGTCTTTAATAAATATACATCTTTAGATTTTTATATTTGTTCAGTTTAAATGATATTCTTTATATTATAGTTAACCTATATATACAATGCAAATTTTGAACCTTTTCAACACTAGATTTATCAATCACACATTAATTATATCTGTTTCACAATGATATTAAATTATTTGTTAATTAATTTAAATTAGTATGCTCTTTCAATAATGTGACTAACTTAAAAGTAACCATAAAGGTTCCCTAACTTGTTTTCTCACACTCCAGCCCTGCTCTACACCTACTCGGCCATTTTTCCCCCCTGTAGTTATTCAGCTACCAAGATCTCCTCAGGTTGTCTTCCATCTGCCATCTACTCCTCCTTCCCAAAGTTGTGGGCAGCTAGCTGAGTGGGGTTATCTGGTGGTCCGTGGACGGATGGATCGTGATCATGTTCATAGCGATCACGGTGATGATGACTATATAAATGCTTCCTCAAATGTGGGGGCTTGCGGGCTAAACTCGAATCTCAGCGACAAGTTCTTCTTTCTCCCTCGAAAAGCATGACGTAGGCAAGTTTGTCGATGTGGAGGCCCCCTAACTTCTCGATCCATTTGAAAAGCGTAGATCAGCAGCCCCGAGGGGCTGAAGATTTAGTTGAGGAGAATCCAAGACCGGCAGAATTGATGTGGCTACTGTTTTTTTTTCGAGGCCACTCGAAGTTGCAGCTGCGCAGAGCCAAAGGCCCTGAAAGATATTTTTTTTTGGAGTCCCCCGCGCGACGGATGTTGCGAATTTTCGTCTTTGACATATATATTTATATTATGCGGCATATATATGGGGTAATTCTCTCTACGGTCAACTAATTTAGTGTTTCCTGCTGACAACAGCATAAACAAGCTGCAAAGAAATCAGAGAATTGTGTCACTAAAATGTTTGCGCAGCCCGAAAAAAAGATATCACACAATCTATTTGTTTGTCTCTCTTCTTGTCGCTCTCTATCAAACATTTCACAAAAAGCCAAATTGTTTTTGAATCTCGTTTTGTTCGCTTTCGATTTGTTGTTTTCGTTCATTCATACGAGCAGCGCTCTTTTCATTTTTTTTTTCGAAAATAGACGACATCCGGTCTGCACGAAATATATAAATCATATTTTTAGATAAACGCCGATACACACACACACTGAGTCAAACGATCTGCCAGCCAGAAAAAATTGTACAAAAAATATACAAAATCGAACAGGAAAAAAAAGCGGAATGTAAAATGTTGTTTTCGTAGTCAACTTGTTTGGGTTTTTCGGCGACACGAGACGGCCGCGTCGTCATCGAATTTTTTCTCGATGCCCAATAAAGAATTTGTTTTCTTTGGCATCGAAAACCGAAGATATATCCCGATTTTGTTAGGCTATTTTTGGTCGTTCTTAATTGTGCTTTTATAGGATTAATTTAATATGAAAGTTCTGAACCATAATAATTAATTTTAAATTAAAGGAAAGTTACTGAACTTTTTATGATTTGCTTAATTTGAAAGGTTTAAAAAAAAGATTTTTTGAAAATGTAAACTGTAATTAAATTTTTTATAAACACAAATTTTTTAATTTTTATACATTTTCAAATTTGCTTATAAATATTTATTACATTTTTAAGTATTAAGCCAAGGAAGAATTTGAATTTTATAAATGTTTGGTATAGCTCTGTGTTTTCAAGGATCATAAAAAATCGGAATCCCATATTCTTTTAAAATATAACAACAATTGTGTATATATTTTGTTGGACTTATAAAATTCTTACAGAGAAATCTTTATTTCTATGCCGATTTATCTCCTTTCAAGTCGCTTTCCTTTTTTGCCACTTGCATCAACAGGCCCATCAATTTCTCGTCTCATCATTTGGTACGAATTCGGGATGGGCCGGTATGTTTTTTCCCCATATTCCTCTGCGCCTTATATGTAGACCCCTATCTATCATAAATATCCCCCACTGGGATGATTTCGTTGCTCTCATAAAAGACGAAAATTGCCGGCTCGCACCACAGAAGCGCAATGTTGAAAGAAAAAATTGTGTGGAAATGGAAATAAATTAACACATTTAATGAAAATTTTCGAAGAGAGCGCGAAAACGTGAAGAAGACGCCGCAGCGGAAGAAGTGGAACGGGGCGTATGAGTAATCAACGACAGGAAATGGTGACAAATGCTGCCACCCCCTCACACCACCCCCGTTCTTCCCTTTCGAATGCCTTCTAGAGGGTGTGTAAATGTGCTATGTAGCTATTTGCACCGATAGCAACAGGCCAACACAGAACACAGCGAAAAAAAAGCAGAAAATTTCAATAATCTATTTGGTTTGAATGAAATACGAACGAGGGCAGCGACGTCGACCGCCATTGGGGCGCCCACAGGAAACGCGACGTTGGCAACAGTTTCCTGTTTTGTTTTTGTCGAGTGCAAACGGGTTACGACAACAAACATGTTACAATTTGGTTCAATGACTTTGTTAGGCCATCGAGATAGGAACCCAGTGCACAGCGAGAAAATGTGAGGCTTAGAACTGATTTAGGTTGGGATTATTTAAGCTGGGAAATGTAAAATCAATGTAATAAACAAATAATCTAAACTCTGCGTTTTAAAATAATTTACAAGGATTAATTTATAAAGTAAAATTTTTAGAAATATTTTTTTTTTAATTTTGAAAACTTAAAATACGGATAACTGTTGTTATTTTAAGTATTTGGTGCTTCCTAACTGGTTAAATTAGAGAAAGTATATACTTGTCATTAAATTTAATATTTCGAACAGTTTTAAAAATATATGTAATGAAAATGGAATACATTTTGGAGCTTAGTTTCAGGGCTCTTTTATTTTTATTATTTTATTTTTACCAGTGGCCTGGCGGAGTTTGGTCTTAAATGTTATCTGGTAAGCCCCTCGGCACTCCACAAAATATAATATAACATAAATAAGCAGAGCAGTGTTCAGACAACTATCCACCCACCAGTTTATCAGTGGAATTGAGGAAGTGGTCACCGCATATATGAAACTCGCACCAGATGCGCTGATAAGACCCACCCATCCACCACCCAATTACTTCCCCACCCACGCGGCCTATTCTACTTTTTTCCTCCTTTTTTTTATTTTGGCAAACCTTTTATTTAGCGTTTAACGTGGAGTTATTTTACGGCTTTGGCATATTAAATGAGTTGGCGAAACTTATCAGCGATTCAGTTGACGACTTGCGGAAGTCCCAGCCCATAAAAGTCCCCTTTGGCCATCTGATTATTTCTAATTTGCCGCAGTATTACACATACGCCCCATCGGCCAGAAGAAACACTTTCACAATTTCACTAACCATTTCTTTTTCTTTTGTCTGATTGCAGTTCGTGGACATTGGTATCGTGACTTCCATCGAATCGAATCACAAACAAATCGAATCGGCGCGTAAGGGTCAAGAGATTTGCGTCAAGATCGATCCGATTCCCGGTGAATCGCCCAAAATGTTTGGTCGCCACTTTGAGGCCGATGACATGCTGATCAGCAAGGTAAGTCAATCCATCGATTCTCAAGAGCTCAGCCACTTGAGGTTTCCTAACTGGGCAAATAAAAGACGGGACAATAAATTCATTAGTGTTCGGGAGCGGAAGAATCAACTTGGAACTCGAGATAGACTCGAGTGCATTATTGACGGGAAGTTAGGAACTGCAATATCATCGCTTAGGGTGGCATGTGGTAGATGTTTATAGATTAGATATCTGAAGGGGTGCTTTTGGTGTTTTTCTAAAAATAGGTAATTGCCAGGGATCTATTATTAGCTTTAATCTCTTCTCAGGTAACTCTTTAAACTAATTTAAATATTACAAAAAAAACAATACTCAAGGCACATTCTTTTTTAATTCCATGTGCGGATCCACGGGGGATAGATCCCACCACTCGGGTTAAAATATTTATTCCAAATTTTTCATTTTTACTTAAACAATTTTTTTTATATCCCCCACAACAGAATTCTGGATGCGCCACTGCTAAAAAACAATCAATTTCTAAGCACACTTTCCATATTAATTAATTTGTTTAAATAATAAGTATAGATTGTTAGAATAATATTGCATTTCATTCAATTAATTTTCGCATTCATTTAGAAGTTCTACTATCAATTTGCCTTAATTGAGCGAGTGATAGGTATTATTCAGTATGAATTCGAGTGCAAATCACTTAAGTTCAACAACAGCGGCAATCGGCAATCGGGCAATCGTGAACGGGGAAGTGCCAAAGTTGTCAATTGCACCTGGAATGGGTTTACATGGCTTAGATGGCCAGGTGCAAACCCACTCCAGCAAAAGCACCAGCACCTCCGCCAACCTTGGTCACTTCCACTTCGGGCCAGCTGGGCTTATCAAATTACATGGCCAAGTTGTGTGTGAGTGTGTGTGTTAAGTGTTAAGTGGCTACAACAGCAACAATCGCCTCGGATCGATGACTTAACTGGCTTAAGTGGCGTTGAAAGGTCTTTGCAACTTCCTTTCGTTCAATCATTTGATTAACAATTACTTACCAGCTCTGACGTCAAGCGCCCTTGATGAGTGGGTGGTTCAAGGGGGTGCGTAGTGTGTGGGGTTGGAGGTCGAAAACCAAAATCGATAGCTAACTTAATTTTCGATTCATTTTTCCCTTATCAGCGGGTGACATCGGTGACGTCAAAACGCCAGGCGGTGCTAATTGCCCATTGAGTTGGCAGCGTGCTTTATTCAATTAATGCTTCGTAAAAATAAAGATGAATAGATGTATTTTTAGGCCTACAAATTGAGTGATCGAATTTGCACTGCCCAAAAATAGTTGGGCTTTCTAGAGGTATTTTCAAAAAAATATCCAAAGAGTTTTATAATATAGTATGGCACGTTTTAATAGAGTTATAGTTTTCATACAGGTCCTGCCATTTCTATATACCTCTTATTAATTTTCAAAATAGGATCCCTATATCTTTATCAATTTTTGGATATAATAAAGATTAAAATTCCTTTCTTCCTGGAAACAAAGACTATTTTAACGCCATAGAGTTGCTGAGTTTTATCTGGCATTTTAATATTAACAGCTATTTCAGGCTCCCTTTAGGATTTCCAGAATCTAAAGCCCAAATCCGCAAACCTTCTTTCCTGCACAATTTTCCAATTAACTCTAATTAGGTTGTCGCATTATTATTTTATCGTTAACCTTATGGGGTTCTGCTAGTGCAGCCTCCATCAAAAGCTATTAAGCTGGCTGCCACCACCCCAATTGACACACTCCCCGACTATTTATAACCCTCAATGCTATCGCCATAGCCTTTTGCAAGAGCCAAGTACCAAGAACCTGGGAGCCATGAAAGGGTATTATGTCATGGCTGACCTGATGATACGTACTTATGCATGCAGGGCCGTTCCTTTCACCCAACACCCTCGGAAAATATACACTTATATATATGTATATGTATATTCGCCATATAGCGGATAGCGATGTAGTATTTGACCCGAGTCGCCGGCTGACGTCACGTTTTACCTTCCACGGTAGTGCACTTGCCATAGTTCATTGACCCCCGGATGGGGAGCATCGTCATCATCGAGCTAACCCAGTTTCCTCGGATGTCGACCCAGTTTGGGTGTATGTTTTTGTGCAGCGGGTTCGGTTTTCGCCGTTTTTTTTTTTGTTTTTTGTATTTTTGACTTTAATTTGTGCACTCGCCTTTTATCAGCTATGACGCATTCGGCGACCCAAAATGGAGCAGAGAGCAGCAGAGAACCCAACCCCAAACCTCGAAACTCCCCCCGTTGAAAATGGGAGCTGAGGTCAACCATAGATGACTTTGGTTTCGGCCTTGCGGGTTCAGTCGCAAAATTGGACAAGGCCTTTGGCCAAAGCTAAAAATAGCAGCAATTAGTCGAGATTTGGATAAGGGGCGAGCTAAATGGGTTTTCGGTGAAAACTAATGGGGGCTAAAATTCAATGGAATAACGAGAATGCATCGATTATGCCGAAAATTCCCATTGGGCAGAGATAATAGGCTTTAGTTCTTAAATGTGATTGCGGATTATAAAGCGAACTCTGGCAAGGCAAATAAACTTTAATTTAGGCTGGCCCATAGATAACCAATCAATAACTACTTAAATTCAGGCTCGGTCTTTAACGACTACCCCCAATATCCTTCAACTCTGGAATTGCGGACAAAAGACTCGCCCATTCGCCCATTTAATATGCATGGCCATAAATGGCGACTCCTTGAGAGGCTTTATTTCCCCTTATCGTTTAGAGAAATCTTTTGTACATAAATATATACGGCTCCAATAATCAAAACCATTGATCGGGCCTAATTAATATGCGATGCGCCAAAAAAAAAAAATAAAAAAAGAGAGATGGGAATAAAAATAATAATTAAGCGGGGGAACAACAGACAAAGGACAGAGTGTGCTGTCTTTATCAAGGGCGTGCTGTAATCAGACTTTTGGGGGGCCTGAAAGTGGAACTATTCATGAGGGGATCTTCAGACTGCTTGCCATAAACGCGAGGCATTAAAAAACGCATTAAAAAGGCGCCATAAAAAATGGCGACACTAAAATAGCTTCGATAAAGCGTTGCTGGGGCATAAAGTCTTAAGTCAAGCTGAATCGGATACGAAAAAGATGGAAAAAAAAAGTATTGTTGAAAATGATTTTAATTGTTATGCGCCATATGTCTGTAAGGGGAAGGACTGGTAGAGCCCGGAGACCCCGAACTGGAGACACGTGCCGATCCGTCCCGCTGTTTGATTGATGGAGCAGCCACCCCGTCCTCCGCATTTTGAATCTCCCATTGGAGTTATGACAATTGGCACGTTCCAATTATACAATTTTTGCTGAATTCATAATGAAATTGATTTATGTGTGGCGCAGCGTGTTATTAATATGCATTTGTAGGCGAAAATGTTATTACAATTTCACTCTTGCGGTTGTCTTCTAGAGTTTTAATGGTCTTTTAATTATTTTCGGTTATATCGAATTTCGTTTCGACAAGCTTGGGTATTTCGTAGAAAATTTCTTTTGTTCTTGGTAACCCAGTTATAAAGAAACGGTTGGTTACGGGGTGACTCTAGCCATAATAATATTATTATTATACTTTATTAACAATAAACTTAATATTAACATTTTTAAGAAATTGTAATGAGTGGTTTTTATTGATAATACCATTTTCTTTAATCTATTTTTCTTATAGATCTCTCGCCAGAGCATCGATGCCTGCAAGGATTACTTCCGTGACGACCTGATCAAGGCGGATTGGGCCCTGATGGTGGAACTGAAGAAGCTCTTTGAGATCTTATAAGCGAATTCGCTAGCCAAAATTGCAAACGTACAACAGACGAGAGATTTTCGCTAAACAAAAAAAAACTAATCAAACTACAGACTGTGCGCTTGTGGTGTATCCTCTCTAAACCCCGAAAAGAGGATCTTTTCTCCTTAAGCTTAGTTTCATATTTTTATGGTTTACAGCCGTAGTAGCCGTCGTCGCAGTTGTCGCTTGAAGAACTCTGTTATAATGGTTTTAAATCAAATTTTTGTAAAACGCTTATTGCGGAATATCCATTTATTGCCTGCGATTTTTGTTAGAGCCAACTTAGAATAAAAATGCAAAAATGTTGTACAACGGAACAAAAAAAAATGAGTAAACCATGCAGACTGGGTTAACTGTGTCACTGGTGACGTCACGGCAAAGGATATTGACCCACTTGGCATGCGCACAGGTCCTTTTTTCATTCATAGCCCGCCGCCGCTGCTGCTGCTGCTGTTGTGTCATTGAACGCGACAAGGATGCCGAAGGATGAATGGGCCAGATGCCTGTGTCCTGTGGCTGCTGCTGCAGCAGCCCAAAAAACTGGGTCATCCGCCGAGGAGGTTCATTCACCCAAAAGCCGCTAGAAGGACAATTGTGTCGCAGCAACTGCTGCGCCCAGCCCTGCTGCACGAAAGTATGTGGCAAGTTACGAGCCGCAGTTTTGTGAATGACGCAAATGCTGCCTGTGGAAAAGTATCCTTCAAAGGGGCTGTGGCTGCTGCTGCTGGGCTGAATGGGCCCAAGTGCTCCAAGTTCCAAGTGTGTGTGCAAGGATATTTACCCATGCCATCGCCATTCGTCCTCGAGGTAATGTTCTCTCAAGTGCCAGCCATTATGCGGAGGTGCTTGAGCCAGATATTGCTGTCGGGCGGGGTTTGTCAAGGAGAAACTGTCGATTAGAATTGGATAAGCGACATAAGCAGGTCAATTAGGGACCAAGGTAAACCGAAGTAATGATATATTTAGCTAGAGCTATTTTAAACTATGTTGGAACTATCTTAAAAATGAATTATTTCTTTCCTACTTCATTTGTTAAATGATAGTGAATAATGTATTTATGGGTAATATGCCACATATTTAAGTATTTAATATATTCCAATGAATTTATGACTTTCTTAATAAAAGTAATTATTTTAATACTTATTTCTTAAGCCACCATTTAAATGAAAATTCCATCATAAATTGATTGCCTTTGATAATATTTTATTTCCAATATTTATACACATCAACGTATGTTCCAAGAAATTATCAAACCAAACTGAGGCGTTTGTCCAAAAAAATAAAAATAAATACTGGCTCGTAAAAAGTGCAATAAAGTTTAAAGCACCTAATGTACGTAGAAGTGCAGCAGCAATAAGTGGTTCGCAAAAGTTCCATTTGCAAACGCTTTAGTATCGCATTACGTTATTTCTGGCACGTAATTCCGTCTTAAATGGCCTGAGGTGCAGTAAAAATTTCAAAGGAAATTATATTTTCTTTTTACTAAAAACTTAATGCTCATCGAGCGTGTGCCGTTCATTGAGGAAAAAATGTAAAGATTGCATATATGGCCGAAGCGAATATATATATAAACATCCTTGGCTGGCTACGTGTCTGCTCGGTTCATTCATTGATTTTCTTGGCCAACTTTTGCCTTGGCCAAAAAGCGCGCACACACATGCGCGAAGATGCCGATGCGGGGAAAATCCAAGAATGACATTCCCATCGTGTTTTAGTGGGTGGGAAAAATACACCCCCCACCGTAACAAAATGCCGTCATGAAAAGCGCCAGAGAGTGCGAGAGAGCGAGAACAAGGATTTTCATTCACAAGGCGAAACCGCGGCATCCGTGAAAATGGCATCCACAAAAGGGCTGTGGAACTAGGGCAACATTCTCTGCGGCTGTGGTAGGTAAGTGTCGCCTCCAAACTCCCATTCCATCCCCCATATCCTGAACCCCATCCTGCATCCCCCCATCCTTTGGTGTTGCTGCTGGGCATGCTGATGTTGCTGCGGGGTTGCCGATGTTGCTGCTGCCGCCGTTCGTGTTGCTGCTGTGTATTCTGTGGGCGGCATTTGGCCCATTGAGAAAAACGAACCGCATGGCGAAGGACTCTGTGGGTACTTGAGTGTCCTTGCTGGTATGCTGGCAAAGTGAATGAAGAGGTGAAATAAAAGTCAAATGAAACAGAGGTTTACAACCCATTTATTTTCAGTTATTTTTAGATTGTCCGAAAATTTTACAAATTACCTCATTTATTCAAACGAAAAATAAATTTAAAATTGTAAATCTTATTCACATGGGCGTTGGTAAGGTGAATTACCGGATGAAGTGAAAGTCAAATGAAACAATTAAATAATCTTTTTACAAATTTAAAAAATGTTTAAAACAATCTTTTTTTGATAATAATTAATAAAACAATTGTAATACTATTTAAAACCTATTTAAAGGTGGACATTTTAAAGTAGTGGTGAGGTAAAAAAAAAAGTCAAACAAAATAAAGCTTAAGACCGTTTTTTTGCTTTAATAGTTCTAGACAATTTCTAAAAGTGATTAATGTACTTCATTTATTAAAAAGATTTTTTGCATTTAAGTTATGAATTTATCATTAAAATGAGTTATTCATGTTCAAAAAATGTACTTTAATACAGTAAAACTAATTTAAAAATACTAATGATCTTTTTAATATTTTTTCCATTCGCCAAATGTATTCTAAATGACTGTTTGGAATTTTAACAATTAAATTTTGGTTTTAAAATATTTGTTTAAAAATAATAATAAAAAAAATTAAAATTATAGGCAACAGCCTTGTTTTTTAACAGAGGTTCAGCTAAGTTAATCTGAAATGCCCAAAAAGTAAGCTTGGAAGTTATTCATTCATCTTATCTTTGTCAAATACAACTAAGCGTAATTATCACCATGACCAAGCAAAATATATTTGACGTTTCCTTGTTATTGCACAAAATTTTATAAATAATCGGATGCTGCTAAATGGCTGGGTTCTAAGAAAAAATTAATTTTTTTCCGGAAATTCAGAACTGAAAACTCCGAATAATTGGCAAAACCCATCAATCGTCGGGCGGAAGTGGGATTTGGAACGGATCTGCTTAGGCGAAAATAGCAGCGACGTCAATTGCAGACGGTTTCCAAATAAATATTTTACACGTGCGTTTCGCTGCCACTTGCTTTTTTCTTTTTTTTGGCCTGGCTGTCTGAAATTGCCCCGAGTTCATGTTTATACATTCACCTCGAGGCCGATGTGTTACCTCTGCCACTGCGGCGATAATCTAGGACACTTATGACGTCAGGCGGGAAAACTGATGGATATATTTATTGCGGATTGAATGCACGAAAAGCCATCAAAACCAACAGCGCAGACATTAAGTTGGCCAACTTTTACATACATTTCTCTCATTGAGTATTTTCGTTCAATGAAATCCCACAATGAAATTTCATTTATTTATATTCTCCTATCCGTTCGCATTCATACGTATTTATTTGTATATGTTTGCCCAAAATGTTTCGGCCAATATATGTTTTTGTGTCTTTATTGAATGGCAGACCACTTTTTTTGCTGCCGAGTTTTATCTGATCAGATGATTCACATTGTGTTGGCATTTCAATTTATGGGCCAAGCAATGGGTGGTGTTCATCCGAACTCTCCAATAGATCGTATGAAACTCTAAATGTTTTATAAAAAATGAGTTGAAATATTAAACTTTGTATTATATGTCTTTACCTCAAGGGTTCTGTTTTGCAAACGTTATTACAATGCACAAATTGTACGTTAAATTTTCATAACATTTGCAAAATAACCCTTGACATAAAAATATTTATTTTTTAAGAACTGCATTTTTTTTAAAAATTAATGGAAACCTAATCTTGATTTAATACCTAGAAATTCATAAAATCTTGTAATGCTGTAGACCTGTTTTCCCCAAAGTTATCATGACTTCTTTAAACAAATCCAGACAGTTAGTTAAAAATCATGTGAGAACTTAAGGCCTTTTCTCAGATTCGGAAATCTTTACCGTTATTAATTATAATTCATTTTTGAAATATCTATACCTTCTAATTTTGTTTATAAAATTTGAAAAATATATATTTTAATTGGGCACCAAAGTACCCACACTTCGTTTTAAAAACAATTTTAGCCTACTCAGCTTTCCTGTTGGACTTGAGCTCTTTTTGGATCTTCATTCTGGTGCCTCTTATATATACAAATATATATATATAGATATTCTGATGTCTACCGCCCATATGTGGAGCTCGTCGAAGTGGCTGCTCTCCGCCAAATTTGGTGCCGCCTTCGACCGGATGTCGTTGGAAATTATATTGAAATCTTTATTGTTTTCACTGATTAATTTATGGGGCAGTAAACGAAATGAGTTTTCGGTGAGTGCTGTTCGATTTCTCGATTTTGGGCGGTGCGAGGAGTGTTCTGGGTAATTTCAAATTTAGCCCGCCTTCAAGAGGGGCAGGGCAACCCTGGCAGGGCAACCCAAACAGCTGATGGGCAACTCGTTGACCTTGGGGGGGATAATTGCAACAACCCCCAAGTGGAAATTCACTGCCAATGCCAATGTCGAGGCGACGCCTACCGAAGGTCGTTGCCAAGGCGACTGAGTGGGCCAGAGCCCAGCTCATTGGGCCAGGAAATGCAGGCGTGTGTGAGTGGGCGGCCATTGAGCGTGCCGTTGCATTCAAAATGGCCGTCAAACGTATGACCTTGAAAGCCGAGCGCACATTGGCCAGGGCCACCTCGGGGGTTAGTGGGTGGTGGAGGACGGGGGGCATGCAAATGGTTGGAACTGGGAGCCAGGAGCTGGGAACAGGAGCAGCCAGCAGCCAGGAGCCAGGATTAGTCCTGCAGCAGGAGCCGAATTGGGCAAAAACGAACGAGCGCCACACGATGCCCACGCATTTTGGGTTCGTATTTCGTATTTTCGGGTCCTTCGGTCGAACGAATGGGGCTTCGATTCCGCTTCCCCTTCAGGACGAGATCCTTTCGGCAATCTTCGGCTGAGGCTGCAGCTACGATGCAAAAGTCGTGCAACTTTGGCTCAGTCACTGGACGAGAGTCAGGCTGCATTCAACGTGCAATCTCCGAGAAATTCTACTTTGCAAAACTATCCACCAAATATATACATCTAATATATATATATACAGCTGAATAGCCAAAGACACAACGCAATTAGCGATTAATATATGTGTGCCGAACACAAGGCGTATGCGTAATTTTAGTGAAACGGAAGTGAAAGAGTGTATGTGTTTTTTTTCAAATCAATAACAACTAACAATATTTAGTAGCTAAGACTTGTGTATAAATCTTTAAAA